TACTCAGTTGTGTGCATATGTTTTTATGCACTTTTTTTGCACATCATGGCATTTCTATTAAAGGGGACCTATTATGCAAAAATTACTTTTATATGGGATATTAACACAGTTGCACAGCAACAGTGTGTGAATATAGGCAGCCTTTAATGCTGCAAATTAATTCATTAAATTTTTTATAATCACACTTGATATAATCAGTCTGCAGAAACACTTTGATTGATATTCTACCGCTGTACGTGCCATCAGAGACGAAAGCCCTTCCCATTATTGACGATATCTCCCTCATTAGCATAAACAGCCCTGAGTGAGAAGCAGATGTCCGCCAATAAAGTTGACCATCTTAAGAAAATGTCAGCAATTAAGAGGAGTTTAAATTTGGGATTTTGGGATGCACAAGTAATCACTCTAGTTTTTCATTCAGATAACGTTAGTATTCGTAGCTCTGCCCTCTTTTGAAAAAAAGCACAATTCATTTTAAATTAAAATTTGCATTTCAAATTCATTTGAATTTAAAATGACCCACAATTTGGATCAAAGCCTAAAATAGGCAGTTTCAGAGAGTTATAAAACATTATTTGTTGTGTATTTTGAGCTGAAATTCACACCTGCTTACATTTTGTAAAAAAAAAAAAAAAAAAATTGCATAATAGGTCACCCAATGCAATCTCACGGCAATTTGTAACTTTTTTGATTCAGTTGCTAATTCGTATAAATTTGTACGATCTAATTTGCTTTATTTGGTACAATTTGCTCATAAACCAATGAAGGTGGGGTTAAGGGGTGGGGTTTGGCGCCATGCCCCTTTTTTAAAATTGTACATTTTCGTACGACTTTTGAATTTGTACGAATTAGCCACTAATTTGACAAAACCTAAAATACTTGCGTTTTCTCGTGAGATCAGGCTGGGTTACCTATAAGCATTTTTTAATGCAATATTCATATATTGTCCGCACATAAAATAAGTGGATGGAAACATTAGTTACTTTCATAGTATTGTTTCCTACTATGAATGAAAACATATGAAGAGTTCAGATGCAAAAACCTCTTAATGTCGTCTGAAATTTTCTCCTAAAATGATATTTTTTGTCTCCTATGTTTATGTTCAGTTAATTCACTTTTAAGGCAATTGAAACAACATTTGTCACTATAAAAGTAAAATTACTGAGCCAACACAAAATAGTCTGAGAAAATGCTAATTTTAGAAGGAAATATCAAACAGCATTTAAAGGTTTTTGTATGTGAACACTTTTCTTGGAACCATTTGAGAGTAAACTAATTGACAATAAATACATTTTCATTGTTTTGGGTGAACTATCGCTTAAAACCTCTCCGCTACAGGAAAACAAAACACATTTGTGACGCTCTCAAAGCAAGCCTCAGTTTTCACACTTATCCTGCTTTGTTTTCTATCCGTTCCTGTTATATTTAATTGAACTGTACACTGAAAGGAAGTTAGTAAAGACCTTCACAATACCAAAATAGCTCCAGGCTAAAATCGTCGAACAGTTTTCGTTCTGTTTAATAGTTTAAAAGTGCCCTCGTCTACAGAGGCTCAGACAAATCTATTAGGTGGAGAGCGGTAGAAGCATCCGCTGTTAGGGTGAGGAGGACGACATGAACCATAAAAAGAGAGATCAACACAGACAGAGAAAGAGGAGGAGGAGGAGAACCTTCCTCTTCGGCAAGCAAGTGTGGACACGAACAGGCTGTGTGAAGGATGCAGGAGGACGTGAGGAGTCTGAGTCACCATTCAACTACTCTACAGTTCCCTATTTACAGTAGACAGGCATATAAAAATGTATAGAGACACTTCCTCCTATCTTACCACCGAAAACCCCAAAAGAAAGAAAGAAAGATAGTTTTTAAAAGTCATATTTCATTACTATATATCTTTTGTTTAAAGAGGATCAACTCAATCAAAATCTCTCCGAGGAGCTAAAATAAACTATTTGCTAGTTTTCAAAATGAAGAAAATATCATTATTATTATTATATACTTTCATTGCAAAAACAACTTTTGGGTATTTACTATTGCATATCAATGCAATATTAAATGTAACTCTGAAGACAACAAATGGTGAAGGCGTAGCCACACTGTCAAACATTACGGTTTAGTATTTCAGAAAGGGAGAAAGCAATTGTGATGTTAGACTATAATCGGATTAATCAACGCAAAACGCACAAAAGAACAGTAAACGTGAAACAAAAGCATCCCAGAGATGTTGATTCAGATTTTTCTTTTTTTCTGTAGTGTCGAGTTGGACTCATCTTTCATTTTTGTGAGACACAGCAATTTATCCTTCAGAAGTACATGGGTCAAAGACGAGGAGTAACTGATTTTATATAGAAGAAAGCATATTAAGTTGAATTCAAGTGTCTATTGTAATGCTTAAAAAATAATACAAAAATCTAAATACAGGTAAAAAATGAAATATTCAGTGTAACAAACAGATATTCAGACCTGTGCTTATTAAAATATATAAACGTATAAGTGATCATAATATGTTCAAATTCTTTTTGATTTTAAAAATGGATATAAAAACTGAATAAAATTTGCTATAAACAATGTCAAACTAGAAAAATTTGAAAATACAATATGATACGGTGGCCAAGAGAGCTTAACTTAACAATTTAAGCTTAACTTAACAATTCAAGAAACGTGTGCAATTACAAAAAACGGCAGCAAATTGAGAAAAGATCTTCATCAGTTTGACAGCACATGTGCTGCAAACCATCACAACGCAAACACATAAAAAAAAATGCACTGCATTTTCACACAACGCAAACAAATTAATAAAACGCACTGCATTTTCTCACAACACAAACATTTTATGAAAATATGCTGCATTTTCTCACAATACAAAAACATCTGAACACAATGGATTTGTTTCAAGGGGAACCAAAAACGTGAGGCACATCATTGTGCTGTATAAAGTCCCAATTCGCATACTTATCCGTAGGGGCGGCTGACATGAAACTGATGTTTCGACACAGCGTCGAGATCCCAAAGTGCAAGTGTTTTGAAACCAAAGCACCGAAGCATGATCCGAAACACCCAGGTCATGTGACTAAGGTAATTTGAAGCACCCAGGTCACGTGACTAAGGTGATTCGAAACACCCACGTCACGTGTCTAAAGCGATTCAAAGCATTGTTCATTTCAGAAGCTTTTCAAAAAACTTTATCTCCTTTAGCCTAGTGGACCTAGAGTGCTGTGCTTCAAAAGTGCGGAGTTCAAATCCCGACTTGTGCAAATACTCTGAAATAATGACTTTATGTATTTAATAATGTAAATTTTTATGATTTCTATGTAGCTGCATCACCCTGGATTCGAACCCCTTATCGCGACATGCTAGTCTAGAACTCTCACTGCTCTGAACACTAGGTGTGAGTGTAGAGATGAGTTTCGAAATGTTTCCAAGCTTTGACACATTTGCTTCGACTGTTCCAGTGTTTAAAGAAACCTCGCTTTGCCCACCACTACTTATCCGTCCTAAATATCATTTGAAAATAGAATTAGTATGTCCAAAAGAAGAGTATGCCAAAGGTTCCTGAATGGTTCACTATTTTCGATGAAATTGGTAAGTGTAGAAGCGTCCATACTCTAATCGCTAAAATTGCTCAGAGTACATTGTATGTTGGACGTGAAATTGATTAGAACTACAAATGTAGGTGAAAACTACAAACATGGCAGACGCGCGAGAACAACCGTCAAGTAGAAAGGCTTCATTAAAGATGTTTGTATGACTGAAAAATATTTAAATCGTGTTTTCTGGGTTATATTTCATCTGCAACAACAATTCTGAACATATATAAACATTTTTTGGACATTAATGTCTGAAAACATAACTATCCAAAGACCTGAGGAGATTTCTCTGCATTAAAGACTCGTGAATGGCAGATTATTCTGCTACTGCTACTCCAATATGGTAAGATATTAAATATGACAGAAACAATGATTGACAAGGCTCATAACTAAGCAACATCTGTTAACGATCTGTTAATGAGGATGTCCCAAAGATTGCATACTCTTCTGTCACACACTCAAAAGTATATATTTCCTTCACAAAAAAGTAAACACTTTAAGGGCGTAGTATAAATATGCGAACTGGGACACTACATACTGCTCAGTGAAGTTGTAGGTAATCTTTAAAAGATGAGTTTACTATCTTTAGTGTCTTTATTATTTATCAGTCTAAATAACCATAACCTAAATAGCCAGGCCCGTCACGTTTTAGGGTCTCCTTGAAACATTTCCGTTGTGCTGTGAGAAAATGCAGTGCGTTTTCGTAAAATGTTTGTGTTGTGAGAAAATGCAGTGCGTTTTATTCATTTGTTTATGTTGTGTAAAAAGGCAGCAAGTTTTTTTAAAAGTGTGTTTGCATTGTGACTATTTGCAGCACGAATGCTGTCAAACCCATGAAGATCTTTTCCTAATTTGTTGATGTGTCTTCGAAAATTACAGCACGTTCAACTCTCTCGGTTACTGTAATAGACTGTTAAACAGAATTAAATCATTTTAAATGTGTCTGACAATAATTTTTGGCATATAAACCATTGTTATACCGAATCAAATTTTAACAGATGTCTAATAAAATAATTAGGTATGAGAGTAATTTTGCACAGAAAAAAATAAAATAAATAATAAAAATATTAATGTACTCAAACAAATGTATTATAAATGTGTATGTTTTGATGCTTAAAACCCCTGTCTTTGACCCTCATACAGACTTTGCAACATTTAAACTGATGTGTGCGATTCCCAATATTGACCAGCAGATGGCGATACAGGATTGAATTTGTGGACGTTGGAAGGAGTCAAAATCAGGTTGATGTGCGACAAGTTTTCAGGCAATAAATTCTGGCTTCTGTTAATGTGAAAGGGCATTGAACGTGAGTGTGTTATGTATGTGCATGTATGTGTGCACAAGTCTATGTCTGCATGTGAATCTGTGTGAATTTGTTTGTGTGTGTGTTAAGAGTGAGACTGTGTTTGTGTGTTTTAATAGGGTAACGTAGACGGGTCCCACTCCAGCTTTCCTTTGACTTTTCCCTTCTGAATGTTAGTCTCTTCATCTTCATCACTGTCCTCAGATTCAGCGCTAGAGAGATCTCCTGCCAAATCATCATCTTCTTCGTCTTCATCCTCATCTTCCTCTGGCTCTTCCTCTCTCACCTCCTCTGCAATCTGAGTTCCTTCAATGCTCTATAACCAACAACACAATCACAGTATGACTTAAACATCGAGGAAAAAGGTGAGGATATTAACATCCCTTATGCATTTAAAGAGACATACAGTTCAAGACAATAAATATTAGTCCTCCAGTAAAAGTTAGATTTTTTTTTCAAAAAATCCCTAATTGATGTTTAATAGTTTTTAAATTATTATTTATTTATTTATTAATTTTTTTTACAGTGTTTCCCATTCCTGTATACAGTATAATTAATAATGTAATGTGTATTTATATAGCACATTTATCTTGTATGGCCATACACCCAAAGTGCCAGTAGTGTACAGCGTCCACTTGGACAGTGACACTTTAAAATAATGTTCCATTAGTTAATGTATTAACTAACATGAACAAACTATTAGTAATACATTTATTATGGTATTTATTCATGCTTGTAAACAATAGTTAATGTTTTTTAAGTTAAAATGTTAACTCACAGAGCATAAACTAATGTTAACATTATCTAAAAGGGCATGAATTAAGGCTGAACTATGATTAATAAATGCTTTACAAGATTATTCATGCTTAGTTAATGTTAGTAAATACACGGACCAAAATGTTACTGAATGCATTTTTATTTCATTTGTTTATTTTTTTCATCTAGTGAGTCTTTTTTTCTTCTTCTTTTATTTTGTCTAGAATAATATTAGCAACATTGTTTGGACATCTATAGAAGAAAGAACATCTATAAGTAGTAATAATAGTAGTAGTAATAATAATAATAATAATAATAATAATAATAATAATAATAATAATAATAACAACAACAAAAACAACAACAACAACATTATTATTATTATTATTATTATTATAAATAAATAAATAAATAAATAAATAAATAAATAAATAAATAAATAAATAAATAAATAAATAAATAAATAAATAAATAAGTGTTAGGGTCACAATTATTAGCCTGTTTAAATTTTTTTTTTGACTTCAAAACAAACCATTTTTGTCCATTGAATTGTTTGTTATTCTAATAGCCTTTTTAAAACACTTTAATATTCACTTAAAGCTGAATATTAGTATTTTGAAAATTAACTAGTAAAATAGTATGTATTGTCATTATGGCACTTTTTTTAAAAGTATTATGATTAAAAAGCGTTGGGAAAAAATGTATAAATAGGAGTGTAAAATGTACCATTTAAAATGTATTACATAAATAAAAAGTATAAAATTATAAATATTGCTTTAAAACTTAAAATACTAAAATATTTACAATGGACTAAAAAAATTACCAAAACTAAAAGCAAATTAAAAAAAGCAAAGGGAAAAAAAGGCATAAAAATTATTAAACAGAATAAACTCACACTGACTAAATGACTGGAGCTTTAACTTCCAGAACCACTGCTACAGTCAAAAGCATTTACATTCTACTAAAAAAAGGTTGCTTTTTCAGTAGTCTACAGTAAGTGAAAAGCAGCACACAGAGTGTTCCTTTATATTCCTCTTTCTTTTTTGAAGCACATACTGACCTCCATGGGATTAACAGTGATGTTAAGATTGGAGTTGTCCCAGTCCATCTCCGGGTCTTTTCTTTCCTCTTCATCCTCTTTTGAGCTGTCTTGATGGGTGGTGTGGATACGGTAGATGCCCAAGACCACAATGACCACCAGGGCAGCTATGCACATTACAATTACCACTGTTGCTGCAGGAGGGGTACCTAACGACACAGAAAAAAAAACAATAGTACAAAAAATATACTTATTTTATTTTATTTCATTTTTATTTGCAAAACTTGCAGCATGTTGATTTATATGTTCATTGTCAAATGATATTAGTAAAAAAAAAGTGGCGAGACATAAGTTGCTACAAATTCTTTTCAGTGCAAAAAAGGCTTCCTTTTTCAAATCTTTTTCCTCAAACAACACTTTAAAATGTCCATTCTGAGGTTCAGCAGCTCCTGTCAGGCCCAGATTCACCCCTTGACCTGCTGTGGACCCCACACCTGTGGCCCATCTGCTGTCTCAAAGTCTCATCTAGCAGCAGAATATTTCATCAGTTGCAATTATAATCATATTACTCAATAAAAAAAACTTCTTATTATCATCAATGTTAAAAAGTCATGGTTTATTATATTTAAAATAAATAGGGTTTTAATATTTTTTTAGGGTTTTTTCCAACTTTAGTGGTGTTAACAGACAGTAAAGTTTGGGGAGCAAAGATGGGGGAAGGATCAGCAAAGGAACTCGAGCTGGGAATTGAACTCACATTGTCGTGAGCAGCTATATGTCGACGCGCTAATCACTTGGCTTTCTGAATTCCATTTTTTTTTCTGGCCTTCTGTTTTAATGGTAAAATTGCATCAAGTAATCAAAATAGCCATTTTATTATACAATTATTTCTTATACAATCTAAAAAATACATGTATATTCCAAATATAACACATTTAAATAAAAAAATAGTCAGTTAAAAGATGCTTTCTGTGTATGACTGAGACTAGTTACTGAAGAAATAAATAAAATAGTTTTTTTTATTTGTATTTCTTTCAAAATAGTACATTTAACAAGAAAAAAAAGAAAATTACCTCATCATTTACTCTCTCTTACATGGTGTAAAACATTATGAGTTTGTAAACACAAAATAATATATTTTGAAGAATTCTGGTTGCTGATACCTATCGACTTCCATATTTGAAAAAAAACGAAACAAAAACAAAAACAAATAAATGCTATGGAGGTCAATGGGTCCCAGCATTTTTCAAAATATTATTTTATCAATCGATGAAATATCTCGGTTCCGTATTTTGTGGTTCACATATTTAAACATTAAATATGTCTAGTAATATTGACCTTAAATTATTCTAGCCAAAATAAAACAAAGACTTTCTCTAAATATATGAAAAAAAAAAAAAAAAAACAGGAGGGATAATAATTTTGACTTGTATAACAACTGTACCTACCTACAGTAGTCAACATTTAAAGTGGATCATAACCTTTCATCAAAATCGTCCTAAATTTATTAAACACTCATTCTTGTACTAGAAAAATTTTGAAAAAAAAAACATTTTTTATTTTGAATGTTGAGTGCTGAATACAGAAAATTAAGCATTTTTTATTTTAAGCTTTAAAAAATATTTATACTCAACACATTTCACAAATGTTTTGGGGTCAGTCCCCAATTAAACCATGATATAGTGGAAAAATTACTAAGCTTCTTAACATTTTGATTTCTTATTGATATCTTGATGCATCCTACAAATATATATATATAAATATATATATATATAAATATATATATATAAAACAAAATGGATAAACAATATTAATGACAATATAATGACAATATAAAATGACAAAATAAAGGTCAATAATTAAAGCAGAAACATGTAAAAATAAAAATAAAAAAGCATGTAGATTTTGGGGTTCACATAGTGTTTCCTGTTTATTTAAGGGTGTAAATTGCATTATGGGAGTTTTATCTCTACTCTGGTGCCTTTTGATGTTGAAATTTCAAAACTGCAGATTACCAAAATGACTTTTATTACCATTTTATTTGTTTGAGACAAGACAATACTGTTTAAGAAACAACATAGAGAGAATTAAGTCTGTAAAATAACAGAAAAAGTTGGGGAGTTGACACATGCGTAAAATGTCACACTGTTCATAACTTCAACACAAGAGGTGTTGAAAAAAAATCAAATAGCTACTTCGTGTGACTCCTCTTCTACAGTTTAATCTAATGCACAGGTATCAATTCCAGTTCCTGAAGGGCCGCAGCTCAGCAACGTTTAGTTCCAACACTGCTTCTACACACTTACCTGTTTTCACCTGGTTTCAAACAAGCCTGAAGGACTCAAATAGTTTGATACGGTGTGTTAAATTAGGGTTGGAACTAAACTGTGCAGAGCTGCGACTGGAATTGACACCTGTGGTGCAGGGGTTCTCAACCTTTTTCACTTCGAGGCCCACCATTTTTCTTTAAACATTTTTTGAAGGCCCAAACTGATTGTCTTAAGAAAATGTTATATACAATATAAAATCTAATAATATAAATACAGTTAATGCACTTAATTTCAGGTTTCATAGGTTCAAAGCTCCTGAAATATTTACTTCAGTTATTCTTTACAACTGCTGACCGGAACCTGAACCTGACAGGACTACAGGAGATAGCAAAAAAACTGCTGCTGCTTTGAATTAGACTGACTTCTATTCATCTATTGATCTATATCCCTTAAAATGAACAACCTAACCCTAACCCTAAATGTAAAATACAGTAAAAATCCTCTAAATCTGTTGAAGCACATCGATCTGAAAGCGGTTTAGTTTTGTAGCTGGACAATATTGCTGGAACAGTGAACAGCTGTTCACTACTGAAACACCACCGAGTCTCGTTCCTTCTGTATTATATAGTTATAAAACACTCTCAGGGCATTAATTTGGATAACTATGTGGATATTTTAACGAGTTCACACAAGGAGAACACGCAGAGTTTGTGAATCAATGGACTTGTGCGACTTTTATACAGTAGGCAACGAGTCGCAGAAATGAGGCACGCACAAGCTGGTTATTATAACCCTAATCATCATTACCTTTACATTTGTGTGATGGTTTGATTTATTCAACTGAGAACATAGTCTTAGTTGACATGCAGCGGTTGGAAATTTAAGCCACATTTATGTCTGTAATTAACAGTGAGGCTGCTTTTGGAGAGAGTCTAAATTAGCCTGTTCAAACACAGAAAATCATTTTAAAATGACATATCTAATAATGAAATCAAATAATTATAGTATAATATTTAAGTTAATCTTGCGGTCCACCTGCAGGATCGCTGAGGCCCACTAGTTGAGAATCCCTGATCTAGTGTGACAACTTAATTGCCAACATTTTCACAAGTACACATTCTCCATTTAACAGTCTACAACTCCATAATGAGATAAGATATAAAAATGTAATGGATGCAAAATATGCGCCAGAGACTTCCTTCTTTCCTTTGGTATGTCATTTATTATATTGTGATGTATAGTGCTCAATAAAAGATAGAAAGTGTGAAAAGTGTGACAACTTACCCCGCTCTTCCCTACTGGCAGTTCGTTACCAGGTATTTGTACCATAATTTACCACACAAACACAGACAATATACCACCTCAAACTATTAAAAATGTCAACAAGAATCACTTTTCAAACATTTCAACATCAATAGCTTTTGGAGGAACGATCAGAATCCCATAATGCAATTCAAAAACATAAATAAGTAAAATAAAAAGAAAATATTACACCATAAATGGAAAACTGACTATTTACAAATATATATATTTTTTACAGTATAGACATATACAATGACATTGAATAATTGACCTCTGGTGCATCTCTAGATATATGCATTACAATATTTCTATACACTTATACATCATAGTGGGAGAGAGAAGGTCGCTGTAAGTCACCCTGCCTTGCCCCTAAATGTGCTAAAATCATTATAATGCACAACCTGGAGCAGCTAACCTCACTATGCTCTCTATTCCACACAAATGTTTATTCATTATATTGTTATGACTCACTCAGCCACACAGAAATCAATACGACCCTGCATTGCTGTCGTTTAGTGCTTTTCTACAAGAAGGTGCTTGAGGTGAAGCTTATTTAGTCATGTTGACAGAGGAAGAGAGTTTGGCATGGTTCACTTTAAGAAAAGCGTGATTCACTGGGACCTTACAGTCAGCAAGAGCAGGACTGAGAGCGCGAGGTCACACTGCCACCTGCTGTTTTTTCCATGTCTCTCGTAAAACAGCCTGTCATCGCTCTTTCTTCAGTCGGCAGATCTGGCTGCGCCCTTGGGGAGTTGATCGTTCGCTGCTGTCCCTGGTGTGTGTGTGTGCGTGAGCTGCTGGAGTAAGTGCAATTTTCCCAAGCCTCTTCAAACTAACAATACATGCTCTCAAGAGCCTGTCACGCACCTCCACCGGTGTGCAGGGGTTTGTATGCTGGTGTATATCTACTGTATGTCTTATTTTTTCCCAAAAGCCCAATTCCCCTATGAATAGTTTTGCTATCCTCAATAAACCACTTGTTTACAATTTAATGAGATGGTTTAACAAAGCAGCAACACATTTTTAATTAATGACTAAATAATGACTTTTAGATTTAACTACGGAGGAGTCTTTAGGGATTCGAAGATCTGATCTGATTCCGATTTTGGAAGTCACGATTTGATTCCAAAATGATTCTTCAGCTACTTTAATTTTTTACCTATTTATTTAAATAAATACAATTTCACTAGATTAGTTGCATAACTATTTGCTAAAACTGATTTGGATGATTCTGTAGGGGAGTGCATTTGTATAAAATATAAGAAACAATCTACATGCACAAATATATAATAAATAACAAAGAAAAAGTTAAAGAAATGAAAAAAATTAAATAAACAGCACTTTATATGTAAAATAATAGTCTTCAATTTATAAACAATTAAATAAAATCCTCATGCAGTCACAGGCCTCAAAAACACTTGCGAAATGATACATTATATTGGAACAGAACAGAAAATAATATATTTTGACGAATTATGGTTGCTGATACCTATTGACTTCCATATAAAAAAAAAAAAATAAATAAAATAAAAAAATAAATGCAATGGGAGTCAATGGGTCCAAGCATATTTCAAAATATTTTTGTGTTCAAATGGTAAAATAATTATGCTAGTATTATCAATGGTTGAAATTTATCTTTAACTATCATTATTTTAAAAAGTCAGTTTAAATAACTCTACAAGTTCACTGTAAAAAAATATACATTAATTAACAGGTTTAGTATTTTGTGGTTCACATATTTAAACATCAAAATTTGTCTTGTAATATTGACCTTAAGATGGTTAAAAAAAAATTTAAAACTGCTTTTATTCTAGCCAAAATAAAACAAAAGACTTTCTCCAAATATATGAAAAAGACATGTATAACAACTGTATATACAGTAGTCAACATTTAAAGTGGATCATCGCCTTTTATCAAAGTTGCCCTAAAATTATTAAACAACACTTATTCTTGTCCTAGAACAATTTTGAAAAAAATAAATAAATAAATAAATATATTTTTGATTCACATTGAATAAATCAAGCTTTATTTATTTATTTATTTATTTTTGTAAGCTTTAAAAAATATGAATAATCAACATACAGTAGTTTACAAATGTTTTGGGGTCAGTCCCTAATGAAGCCATGGTATAGTGAAAAAAATTACTAAGCTTCATAAATATGTTTTATTAACAAAGTTATAATCAGCAATGTTAGAAATGAAGTCTGCCTCGAACCAACTTCCACTCTAAATGGTGTGTTGATGCTCATTTCCCAAAAGGGCTGAATTATGATAGAAAAGACAAGTCCACAGTTTGTTGACACTGTATTGTTTGAGGTGACTACATATTTAGTAAATGGTAACAATTGTAGGATGGGGATGGGTATGTGGCACAGAGAACCATCTCATCAATGGTGTGGAAACTGCAATAACACAGAGAGATAGTGCTAACAGCTGTCTCAACCTCCAGGGAGCAACTTTATTAACATCTAAAGGCAAGTCTAAGGCAACATTTAAAAGACTTTGAAAGGTTTGAGTTTAAGTATGTTCAGGGTTTATTTTGACTTCTACTGCCATGAACTTGAGACTGCTATGCTTAATAAACATCTTCATTGAGATCTTCTACTGTATGTCCTCCTTATTTCTTACTAGCATGAACCAGACCTGATCTGGATTAACAACATTACGAGGAATTATGACTGAGTTTACCTGAGATGTGATCGGAGTTGACAGTGTGAACCACCATTGGATGATGCACAGGTCTCATGAACTGGGATTGGACCGCCATGTGATTGACATGCTCAACGGCCTCTGAGCTGTGAACTACTCCAATCTGAGGGGGACAAACAGAAATTACTTTAGAAAGTACTCAGGGGTTAATGAAAACTCTGCTTTAAAACCTACAGTTGTAGTCCAAATTGTTAGTCCTCCTGTTAAAGTTTAATTCTTTTAAATTTCCCCAAGATCTGTTTAACAGAGATTTTTTTCAACACACATTTCCTAATATTTTGATACCTAATTTTGTGAGTATTCAGCTTTAAGTGTAATTTAAAGGCAAATAGGCAAGCCATATAACGATGTTTTGTTGTATAGACAACTGAAAAAATCCTAAGGAGGCTAGTAATATTTAAAATGGTTTAAATTATTAAAACGAATAACTTCAAACATATCAAACAAATTAGCTAAATGAAAATATATCAAATGATGAAAATATAGAAGTCATGAATTAAAGCAGAAGCATATAAAGCAAAGCTATAGAATAAATAATGTATGTTAAGTCATAATCAACTACCCTTTAATGTACTGATACTAATAAACATACACTTATTAGTAATTATTGTTAGTGGTTTAAATTAAATAATAAATAATTAGACTTTAGAGCATATACAGCAAGTTAAGCTTTATATTAAGCTTTATATTTGTAAACTTAAAAAAATATATAATAATGAACAATGTAAATGAAAATACTTAAATGAAAATATTCTAGTTAATGAAAATACAGAAGTCATAAATTAAAGCAGAGCCATGTAAAGCAAAGCTAAAACTAGCACTGTAGATTAAGTCACAATCAACTACCTTTTAGTGTACTGATATTAATAATTATACACTTATTAGTAATTAGTAGGACCACAGAATCTGCGCGTGCAGAAATCCACAGATTTCTGCAGATGTTTAGCCTATCATTTAGTCTATGTATTTACTTGTGTAAATGTGTGTACATTTATATTTATTCATTTTTCAAATTAATTTCACTACTATTAATGTGATATAATAATAGTAACATTAAAATGTTCATATGAATTTTTTACAATACAGGTTGTAAAGTAATATTTTCTGTCTTTTAGTAGTTTTATGAGAGACATGCTTTTACCAAATAAGTGGATTTAATTAGATTTGCATTATAAATATTAAAAGTTACAAATTTATTACTTTTTTATTTAATATATTAAGTTATGACACTCTTAAAATCATTCTTCATAAATCAGCAGATATTTTTTACAAAATTCTCTGCAAAGAGAAAAAAAGCAAAGAAAAAAATGTCCGCAGATTCTATATGTAATGATAGTATATTATTATTATATGTAATAATAATGATAGTATAGAACCTATATAACAAATTAAGCTTCATTTATTTTTGTAAGCTTTAAAATATATATAATAACACATAGTCTATACAAATGTTTTGGGGTCAGTCCCTAATAAAACCATGATATAGTGAAAAATAAAATTTTATACTAAGGTTCATAAATATCAGGCTGAATCATGTCAATGAATAACTTTTACTGAATTGATATCTTGATGCGTCCAACAAAAATATCAAAACATTTCAAACAAAATCACTAAATAAAAAATATACCATTAATATACATATTACTGACAACGTAATGATAAAGTAATGATATATATATATATATATATATATATATATATATATATATATATATATATATATATATATATATATACATACATACATATATACACATATCAGAAATAATGACAGTTTAAAAAAAACAATAAATAATAATACTATAGAATATAAAATACTTTAAAAATCTAAAATATTATACATGAAAAAAACAAAAAATAATAAAATCAATCATATTGTTAATTTTAAATATGATTTTTTAAAACTGTATTTCTAAAAAAAAAGAAAACTTATGTATTAATATCTATAGTTTGAAATTATAAATCAAGAGCCAGAATACAAGCATGATTCTCTGCAGTGCTCAGCTCACTTTTAAGTACCAAGAGTCCAAAAGTGCAAAAAGACTACAGAAAAGCAGGAATTGGAAGAGGGGATAAAGTGAATGGAAGATATAAAGAATAAGAAACCATGCCCCGGTATGAAGGCAGTCTCTGACCTCCAAGTTGAACTCATTGCTTGTGTAGCGTCCATTCAGTTCAGAGCAACTGAGCCGGAACCTTCTCTCCGACAGACCGCCGGGCTTCCAGTTACGGTACCTCACCTGCCTGATGGCCTGTTCATAATGTGCCATGGAGTCCACACCTGAGACCAAAGAAAGACTATAGCATAAGGCAGGCGATCACTCTATACTACAACAAAAGACACTAACTCAACATGAACAAGCAGAAGTCTTGGTCTATCTCTAATAAATGTAGTCGACACTTTCATAACACTTTAGGAAATGTCAAGGTGATTTGAATTTGCTTGCAGAAATCCAAATGTACAGTGTGATTGATAGAGGCAGAGGGCTGCTCTACAGTCTGAGCAGTATCTAGGGTTGAAGAGTTTAGAGCTCCATCGAAAATGACTTTTAAAGATCAAAACTTTTTTTTTGATAAGGATAAAAGTCTTTGAAGTCAAAACCCCAGATATTTTTAAGAGTGATCAAACTTACAGTATTGCTGATAACAGACAGAAAGCAGTCCTATAGGTACAGCTATTTCCCATCCCCCCCCAAAAATAGAACTACCATCACTTATTGATTATTTTCTATTCAAAGTATTATGATTTTTGGTAACACTTTATAATAACTACACAATATGAATCATGTATTAAGCATTGGCAAATGGTGAATTCATTATCTGTTAAGCATTAGCTCTACATCATTAGATGTTGGTAAGCAGTTTATTGGCATGTCTGTTTACAAAACTACATTGGGTTTACTCTCATCATATCTCCAAAAATACATTTGCAAAAATCCTGTCCTACACTCGGGCCTTGGGTCACAGGATATTTATTTACTGTCTGTTCCTAAAAAAGTGCAGACGGAGATGGGGCTTTTAAACGCGCAGCACCTTTTGCATAGAGTAATCTGCAAAAAAAGTTGCATTTTAAAGGCTTGATTTCACTAAATGCTTTGAAAAAAAAAAAGAGTATAAATGATTTAGAAATTGAAACACAGGCTTGCAGATGTTTTGAATAGTTTGTTTGTCAATGTGTGATTCACATTAACTGTTAATTGTGTTTTCTTGTTTGTTGTCTGTCCAATGTGACAAGTATACTGCCTAATCTTGGCCAGACCGCTCTTGTAAACAAGACTTTTAGTCTCATTGTGTTTTTCCTGATAAAATAAAGCTTATAATAAAATAATAATATAGTTTATAAATACAGCTACACATGCTGTATTCTTGACTTATAAACACATTTATAATGTGCTTAATAATTGTGCATTTATACTTTATTTCTTAATAATTGTTCTTTACTAAATTCAGTATTGCATTATTTACAAACCATTTGTATTTAAGAGTAGTTGGAGGTTTTTAAGATCATTCAGAATGAGTTATTAAATGATTAATAAACTATTCAAATCAACATTTATATATTTTATTATGCAGGCATATAGTCATGGTTACTATGTATGTTAATGAATGCTTTAATAACTCAACTTCATGCAGTTTTGTGACCTAATCTAAAGTGAGGACTATGCTTTGTAAAACTAAAATGACAATTAAATGACAATTAAAGGCTCTATCAAATGAACAATAAATGTTTGCAATCTTATCTAAAAAATAAAATTACTGTAAACTTTAAAGATTGCAGAAAAAAGGAGTGTTATGATAAAAATAAAAATAAATACAATTAAATAAAATTGGATAAAACAACAACAATATTTTAATTTAACAAAATGGTATGATGCAACAATTCAAATACATTTTGCGAAGTTTAAACTGTACAGTAATTTTATTTTACGATTTCAAAGATCTATTTTTCATTTGATACAGTTTCATTAGTCTATCTTTAAATGATTAGAAATTAATAAAGCCATTTACTTTCTTTTTTTCCTGTTTAGAATATATAACTGAGCCTTTAATTTAATTTAATTGTCATTTATAAGCCTAAAGAATCTTCACTTTAGTCCAGGTCAAAAAACTGTATGCATTTATTAACATACAAAGTAAATTATTAGTACGTATATGCCTAAAAAATAAGATATATGAATGTTAATTTGAATCGTTTATTAATCATTCACTTGCGCATTCTGAATGATCTTAAAATAGCACCAAATATTCTTAAAGAAATAGTTTGTAAATAATGCAATACTCAAGAGATGAAAAAATAATCATTAACAAAGTATGACTATACAATCATTAAACACTTTATACATAAGCGTATTAGTAAAGAATACAGCATGTGTAGCTGTACTTATGAATGCACTAATGCCTCTAAATGTAGAGTTAATACTTAACAGATAATGAGTTAACTATTTGCTAATGCTTAATAGATGTTTGATAGAGTGTAATTATAAAGTGTTACTGATTTTTCCCTATTCTTTATTCCAGATTGTCAAAATGATAAAATAAACAAAAAAAAAAGATATTCAATTTATTAATTGGTCAAAGTTTACAATAAGGTTTCATTCCTTAATGTATTTACTAACAAACTAATTATGCACAATATTTTTACAGCATTTATTAATCATAGTTTAACATTGATACAATCCAAATTCATGCTTTCTAAAATGCACTTTGAACAACTAATAATAAACAACTACATTTTCAAAACTTACATGAGTAAATACTGTAATAAATGTATAGTTTATAGTTTGTTCATGTTAGTAAATGCATGAGCCAATATTACCCAATACACCCTTGTTATAAAGTCTTACCTACTGTATTAAACAAAAGTGAAAGTAAATAAAGTAAATATAGCATTACAAAAACTTTGAATTACCAGTTAGTTTAGTTTTTTGTACTAAAATATATCTGAAATATGTTTTTATGTTAATCTAAATCAAGTCTGAAGGTGACGTTCACAAATGGAATAATTGACACTGGGAATTCAGATTTCCATCACAAGGATCAATTATATTTAAAAATCAAAAAAAATTAAAAATTTAAATTGCAGCCTAAGTTTCTTTCAAAAACATATATAAAAAAAAAATGTCACAACCTTACATTTTTTTTTTGGTAATGCTTCTCTGAAGCTATACTGTACAATGCTTTGTGCAGTAAAAACATGTAAATGCACCTTTTTATTCACTTAAAATGTTATTATTCTTCCGTTCTACTGTAGCCTTCATACCTCATTGAATTATTCATTCACATGACAAGCAATCATCTAAGATGGTAGGTCATGTGGCATTGGCATAACCTGTAATTTATACATTGGAAGGCACCATATAAACGGATACTATCATTTGGCTTGACAACAAAATCAAATAGAGTTCATTTACGGTGCTTCTATAGTACTTTTTATCCAACTGGAGCATGATCCCTCATTTACTATCATTATATGTAAAAGAGTGGCCAGGATGTTCAGCACTTTGTGTTACAAAGATAAAAGAAAGCAGGTTTTGACATTCTTCCTTCTGTTGTAGTTACACTAGTTACCACAATTTAACCATGCTTTTACCTAAACTAACCATTTAGTAATGTAGTAAACTGTGGTTATACAAATAGTAATAAATAGCCAAAAACTATAGTTAATTTCAGTAGGGCCAATGCATTTAAAATGACCATATAAATGAAGTAATGGAGTCAAAAATTATCATATATCATATCATGTCATGTCATGTCATATCATATCATATCATATCATATCATATCATATCATATCATATATCATATATCATATCATATCATATCATATCATATCATATCATATCATATCATATCATATCATATCATATCTCATATCATATCATATCATATCATATCATATCATATCATATCATATCATATCATATCATATATCATATCATAGATGTTTATTTAAAGCAGTGATGCCCAAAGTAGGGCCCGTGGGCCAAAGTTGGCCCATAACCTTTGATTTGGCCAGCCATCCCTCTGAGAAGAGAGGTAGAATGATGGGGATGGTTTCCAGATTGTCAATTCAAATTTAATTAAACCTGTTTTATTGTTAAAAGCTATCTGAAATTAAATCTTTCAATAAAATTGCATAAATTAATCAGATTTAATTTAAATTTACATACAATGCAGAGACTTTGGTGAGCACATTAAGTCCAAGGCAGATTCTGCTTGAGTGTATTCAGCATTTAACTATATTGTGGTATAAATGTGATTGCTTTATTTATTTATTTATTTATTTATTTATTTTTTGCAATAAGTTCTCATTTAAAAAGTTATAGTACATTGGCTAATATGATTTAAAGTAATGTTTTCTCTTTATTTAAAAGAATTAGGAAATAAATTAGGAAATTACCTATGGCTACTTTAATGTAATGTAGTTTGGTATATTCTGACCACGGCTCATAATAATATGCGTTTTTTGGCCTCTCATACAAAAAAGTTTAGGAACCCCTGATTTGTCAGGGGTATGTCAGGGGTATGTCAGCAATATGTCAGCAACAAAGGCTATTTTCATTGCAACATTCTGTTTTATAACCATTATTACACTTAAATTGAGTGTATAACAGCAGAACAAAACAGTAACAATAACAACAAAGAAAATAGTATTAGCTTCTATTTCAAATGTAAAATCCTTTACATTTTTTATGCAATAAAGAAAAATACAAACAAATACAGAGTAGAGAATCATGTTCAATAAGTTCAACACTGCATTGTTTTATATATATCTAATCAGTTTTTGAGTGAATCATTTCAGTCACTTTTCGAATGATCCCTTTGTAAAGAAACAAACAAAAAAAATCACTTTAAAATGAATTAGCAATTTTCAACGAATCATTTGAATTACCGATTTAATAATTTACAAATTGAAACTATTTATTTATCATCAAAATATTGTCTGACTATTATTGGGGCAAAAAGATAAATGTGTGTTAATATTGCACACTTTTTAAATGAACTATACTCTTTGAAAAAAAAAAAAAACTCTTTGAAAAAAAAATTATATATAGACAGTTTTCTTGTAAATTATTTAGTAATTATTTGGTTAAAAATAATCTTGTTCAACAATAGTCCATTTATACCCCCACAAAGGGACTTTTTATGTGATCCCAGCCTCAACCTAAAATGAGCTTGTTTTACTAGCTAGATAATGCATGCTAAAATAGTGCAAATGTACATATACAAATGTTTAATGAATTATACTTCTGCGTCAAGTGCACATGCTCCGGCACAGCCTTCGCGCAGTCACATAGCCCTCGCTGTGGCTGACACAGATGCTGATGTGCAGCTTTCACCATCTGTGTGATTGGTCGGCTTGGTAGCTGTGACAAATGTGGGCAGGGCAGAGAGCCGCTCAAACACATTAGAGAGAGTTTTTACAAGTGTGGAGTCCCATGAAGTAGCTCTAGATGGAAACTGTTGGTCTGTGTTTACGTTATGATTAATGCTGTTGCTCGCCTGCCGGTTCCCACCTCTGAATGAGCAAGTTTTAGTTTTACATTAGGGTAGATTTGAAAAAAAACAAAACACCAGCAAAGAAACTCAACACAGAGGAACGTAAAAAACCTACTGGCTGCTAGCATTTTGAAAATGTTATTGCAGAGCAACACAAACAGCACGCAGAAGTATAAATGCACAACAACACGCAATGCATGTGTCACGCCGATCACTCGAGGCAGAAGTATAAACCAGCTTTAAATCTGAGAATAAGCTAGAAAAAAGAGACAGAATGAAAACAAGATTATGAAAAACATCCTGGCGGCAGATGGCTGAATAGTAGATGCAAGACATGTGTTGGACCATACCATAGATGGAGATGCCAGAGGTAGAGTTGGTGGCGTCCAGATGTTTGCCCAGGAGAGAGCTGTGGTGGATCTCCAGACTCTCCCGCTCCGGGTCCAGCTCTTCACCGATCACCAGCACATCGCAATAATCCAGGTTATGCATCAGCTCCAGGACACCAGGCCTCCGGGCTACACACACACACACACACGCACAGACGCTGTTATACAGGCACAAACATGCAGCACCAAATATATGACTGTGTGCTCCATCCACAAACAACCATCGATTGTGTATGAATTTAATTTCGATGATTTATTGTTTCACTACCCCGAGGCTCTGCATTCGATAAAAGAAGCCGGACACTTTTGTTGAACTTTAAATGAAAAAGGACACTAATAAAAAAACAATTGACTTAGGGTCACTTTAATATCCAGCAGAAAGCATTTACAATCTTAGTATTAATAGACTAAACCATTATCCAACATTTTCCTTCACCCTATGATGCTTTGGGCGAATTAGAAGAGAAGCTTCCGCTAAACACTAAACAATCAGCTCTTATAAGCAATGCAAAATGAAACAATCTGCTCTAATAAGAAAGGCAAGGAATGCAATAAGTGTTTTACATTTATTTATTAACTTAACTGTGTACAGTAAGAAGCAATTATTCGACTCACCCTTTAACTATTAAAGATTAAAAGAAAATTTGGTAACACTTTATATTAACCACACACTATAAATTTACCCATGAACTCAAATAAGAGCACATCACACCAGTCCTCAGGTCTTTACATTGGCTCCCAGTTACATTCAGAATAGGTTTTAAAGTCTTATTAATTCTCTAAAAATAACTAAATGGCCTAGGACCTCAATACATTACAGATATGCTCACTGAATACACATAGATCACTCAGATCATTAGGATCAAGTAAATTAGAAATTCCAAGAGTTCAGTCAAAGCAGGGTGAATCAGCCATCAGCTACTGTGCCCCCTGCTGCTGGAACCAGCTTTTAGAAATGATCAGATGTGCTCCAACATTAAGCACATTTAAATCTAGACTGAAAACACATCTGTTTAGCTGTGGCTTTACTGAATGAGCACTGTGCTACGTCCGACATCACACTAACATGTTTCAACACTTTTTAATTGTTTTATTATCTGATTTTAAAAATGTTTATTCATTGTTGTTTTTATTTTCTTATACTTTTTTTTTATTCCTGATTATGAGAGCACTTTGAATTACCAGTGTGTATGAAATGTGCTATATAAATAAACTTGCCTTGCCTTATGATGGATTTACAAAGTGTAAATAGTCCACACTTTAGATTAGTTCACAAAACTGGACATACAAACTAACTATTATTATATGTCTTCATAATAATTATAAATAAATGTAAATTTAAATAGTTTATTAATCGTTTTATTACATATTCTGAATGATCTTAAAAAAAAAAAAAAAAAACACCAACTTTTCTTATATGACTGGTTTGAACTATAAATGACTGTGTGCGACGAACAATCGTGTAAGTCCAAAAACATAAAAAAATAATAAGAAGATGTCACCATGTGACATTAATTGTATCTGTGAATTTTGTATACAGAAACAGTTTGGGATATTTTCACGTGAGCAAGAGTCTGAGTTTTAAACATTAAAATATCATCACAAGGAAAACATATTTATGTCCACTTAGAAGAATAGAGATGCTGCTTGCTGTCATGTCTGCTTCTTAAAAGGCAAATCCTCCGCAAAAAAAAGGGAGCCGACATGAACAAATAGAAGGACAGCATAAACCAACTACCGTATAAAATAAAGCTGTATCAATGCATATTTCCTGTGTAACTACGACAAGCAGAGTTTATTTGTTTATATATTTATTTATATCGAGATGGCGAAGCGCACAATTTGAAGTAACATATACACTGCGCCAGCACACCAGTGTATATTTCTAAATGAATGACATTATTTAGCTATGATGTCTGCATTTTATGTATTTATTGTTGTATTTATTTATTTAATATTAATAATAGGTGAGGCAGTGGCGCAGTAGGTAGTGCTGTCGCCTCACAGCAAGAAGGTCGCTGGTTCGAACCTCGGCTCAGTTGGCGTTTCTGTGTAGAGTTTGCATGTTCTCCCTGCCTTCGCGTGGGTTTCCTCCAGGTGCTCCGGTTTCCCCCACAGTCCAAATACATGTGGTACAGGTGAATTTGGTAGGCTAAATTGTCCGTAATGTATGAATGTGTGTGTGGATGTTTCCCAGAGATGGGTTGCGGCTGGAAGGGCATCCGCTGCGTAAAAACTTGCTGGATAAGTTGGCGGTTCATTCCGCTGTGGCAACCCCGGATTAATAAAGGGACTAAGCCGGCAAAAAAATGAATGAATATTAATAATAATCGATTGTTATAGGCTGTACTGTATGTCTATGCATTGTACATTGTTCATACTGTATTTTCTTTTCATTCATTCATTCATTTTCTTTTTGACTTAGTCCCTTATTAATCAGGGGTTGCCACAGGGGAATGAACCACCAACTCATCCAGCATATGTTATTACGCAGCGGATGCCCTTTCAGCCTCAACCCAACACTGGGAAACACCCATACACTCTTGCATTCACATACATACACTATGGTCAATTTAGCTTATTTAATTCACCTTTAGCACATGTATTTGGAATGTGAGGGTTTCTGTAACTAAATTAAAACTAAGACAACGAAATAGTATCTTTAGTTTCCACAGTTGGACATATACCGTTCTTCTACATTTGAGAAATATAAATCACAATAACTTTGATTTTTAACACTGACACTGAAAAATGTTATCTCCTTAGAATTAAGAGGCTTTTCTTGTCTATCTTTAAGTAAAATAAAAATATGTAATACAATGTTCACAATCCCAATGAAAAAATCTTATTATTTAAAATTTGAAAATATGAACTTATATGGTTCTTCATTTCAAGGCCCCAATTAATGCAATACTTAATTTAATAATGAAAAATGAATCATTGACAAAATATGAAAACACAATAATTAAATACATTATACATGTGCTTATTAGTCAAAAATACAACATTTGTAGCTGTATTTATAAACTGCTTACTAACCTCTATTAATGTACTGGTAATGCTTAACAAAAATGTATTAACCATTTGCTAATTCTTAATAAATGATTCATGGTGTGTAGTTATTATAAAGTGTAACCAAGTGTAAACAAACAATCTTGATATAACATGAATAACACCAAGCGAGACAGGCTAAATATCACTGTAGTTATGCATATCAAAAATAGTCATTAACTGCAAAAATATACCTCACAGATCACAAATAATGCATTTCAGAACCTGTTTTAGAAACTTTCTAGTAAACATTACTAATAGGGATCATAAGTGAAAAGGGGCGACAATTAAATTTTAAAGCATCTGTGCGAAAACAGACCGGAAAGAGGAAACTCTGAGAGATTCTCAGTGCATTCCAGTGAATTATTCATGGGATATATGGTAAATTAAATCAGAAAAGCGATGTGCAGAATGTGCAGTATATGATTTTTTTTTTATATTGCTACAGCTGAGTACAGAGGCAAAAAGGAAAATAATCAGTAGGAAAAGAATGCAGCCGACTGAAGAGAGCGCTTGCCATTTATACTCTTGTTATAACATATCACATTAAAAATATGTAAACAGTACAACACAAAAGGCTGGGCTGTAATGCGAATAAGTCACGGCTAATGGGCATTGTTAGGGAGAATGCAGAGAATGCAGAAATGATCCGCTCTCGTTATTTGTTTGCTTTATTTCAGTATAAAACAGATGTGGTAGCACAAGCATCTACAGTACAATGTTTACCTGTTCTTGGATCAGCTTTTTAAATTTGCAGATGTTTTAATGAGACATTTGTCTAATAAAAAAAAGGTATGAACCCTTTATAGTACAAATAAAAAAGGAAAACAATTAGATGTTTCATATTTTTTGTTACTAGATAAATAGCTAAAGCATTTAATAGAATAAACTTTGAATAAAATGGTTATGGATTTTTAAAAACAGCCACGTTATGCATGTTTTTAATGCCTTTGCTTGCTTAGGATCAGCATGTGCTCCCTACAATCTTTCGAGATATTTTCTACATGTAAAAAAACAAAACAAAAAAAGAATGACATAATAGTCAGTTTCTAACATCAAGTGAGTCACAAAAAATAGGTGTGATCCAATCAGTTGCCATTAATACAGAACAAGTTTTTTTTTCATTCTGTTACACTGCTTTTTCATTGTTTTTCTTTGTAAAAACACATGCTTAATGGATGTGCATGACCATTATGCTCACATCTTGCATATTTTGAAGTGCCTAAAACATTAGGGGCAGGTTTTTAAAACGCCATCATGTGTTATCACTATGAATGAAACACAACTGTTGACAACATCAGCATCAGGTGATGGAAATTAGCCAGTTTACGTCACAATTATTGGGTCGGGGACTGGAGTGAGAACTCAATGGAGTATATGCACATAGACTTTTAATTTCAGTCAGTCAGCCCTAGGGCTTTCCATTAATTGTCATCCCATACAAAACCACAGCATTTAAGATCTGATTTCTTTAAAAAACAGTGATCTTCACTGCCTGGCTGGGATACATAATAAAGTGGGTATGAGACCAAAACAAGAAACACTGCATTAAATGATATTTTTCCACACCATGTCTTTAAAATATGGAAATTAATTTGACCCCACTATTTTCAATAGAAGTTCTGCACTGGCCTGCGGCTAATGACGGCACTTGCGTTTAAACGGTCTTTCGTTTCTTTTTACAATTTAACAATCAAATGGATGCTTAAGTCTATTAACCGGTTATATTCAAATTACATCACAACATCGATTAACAAACAAACTTGACTGGGCTGTAAGAAAAAAGGCAAGACTGGGCAAGACTGGAAACAACAATGTATGACAACGAACTGGCACAGGACAGCAGACAAGAGGGAGCTATAAAAGAGAAATTATTAGCAACCAAACAAGTGAATATAATAAACTTATAAAGGGTTAACAAGGTGGGTGCGACTAGACAATAGACAGGAGAGCACATGACACAAAGAAACAACACAAGCCATGTGCTCACGTAAAACGGGACTAGAACATGCAGCCAATGCCAGATCTTATTAACCGTGTGTTCATATGAAACATAACACTAAAGCACGCGACGCATGTAAAAATTAACCATGTGCTTAACACGACACCAACAAAAGACTGAACGTAAGACATGAGCACACAATAAATGAAAACACCGACAGTGCATTCACGAATGCGACGTACATGTTTCATCCCAGCGGCAACCGAAACTGAAACCAACTAGACTGAGGCACTGAGAATGAAAAAGCATGCTGCAGACAAAGCAAATACAAACACTAGGACAAGAGCGCGCATCCTGAGCATGGCCAAGACGACACTCATACATACACAAAGACAGACAATGACAGCACAACATACAAGAGCATGACATACAAGACATGACAGGACTAGTGTCCGGACTCTGCCACCAAAACACGAACTAACAAGACTGAGGTGGCAGAATCCTGACAGTTTATATAATAGTTTTATATCTTATTTAGTTAATCTGACAGACAGTGATTATTTGTAGTGCAACTGTATAATTTGAAATGATTGGTTTCAGTATGGTTCACTCTGCTAATAATTCAGGGACTAAGCCAAGCTGAAGGATTGAGCTTTTTTTTTTTGAAGGAGTGAGCGTTTCAATAACTTTAATAGGAACTTCCTCAGACTTGAAATTTAAAATGTTGTGGGCTTTTAGGAAAATGGTGAATGACACAACAATGAAAGCCTTATCCAATTTCAGTAAATATAGGTTTATAGGTTTACATGTGAGGCAAAAAGTTCAACTTTGGCACCTCTGAAATGGATGAATGCAAAAGAGTGAGATTATGTTAATATATGTGCTGTGAAAGTGAGTCATCTATCACCTATGCTGAGGGTGGCGTCAGTCTTGGTGACGGTACTAATGATGTGGATGTCCTTGAAAAGAGCCACTCCGACTGGGGCTCGAAGCTGAGCCGATGGCCAAACCAGACGCTCCACGCCAGCAATGGTGATCCGAGGCTCACTTGGCGGAAGAACCATCACCATCGCCTTGATCTCTGGAATGGAGATGCAAGTGTCTTCACCGAAACACCTACAAATTGGAGAAAAAGCAATAGATTTATTCAACAGAACACTGAAGGCATATAACTGAGGCCATGAAGTGACATGAAAAGGTGTTAAAGGCGAGTTCTAACTTTGATAGGATTAGTCATGACCAAAATGTTTTTATTGTATAAATGTTTGAGTAGATTTTGCTTTAAAAAGATTGAGACCTACTATAGTAAAGTGAAAACTGATTTGATTTATAGTTCTTTAGATTATAAAAAACAGTAAATGTGTCAAATGTTTAGACTTGTAGGGTAAACAGAGAAAGAAACTGTTCTTTACAAATGCAGATAAGAAATTAAAATAAAGAAAAAAAAACAATTAATCAATAGAAACAGATAAAGAGTAAAATAATTGCATTATTTTTATAAAACACTGAAAAGAAGGAAATGTGGCATGTATGGGTAATTTTGAGACATACATGGGAAATGAAAGAAAGTTGCATGGATCATTTTTGTGTAATAAAAAGTTTATTTTGAGTAATAAATAAAATATTTATATATATATATATTTTATTAAATAAAAATGCATAAAGGTAATTTGAAAAAACAAACAAACAAACAAACAAACAAACAAACAAACAAACAAACAAACAAACAAACACATAAATACAAGTAATTTTGAGTCATAAAATAAAAATTAGTTTGGGTCGATTTTTGCCCAATATACAAAGTTATAACCCAAAAGTGACTTGCCTAATTCACCTGACTTGCACACACTACCTGACACAAGTCTTGTCATCAATCCCAGTTGTAACAGCAACAAATACTAACTTGACTTGATCATTTGGAAAAGTGGCAGAAGGTTGATTTTTCTGATGAATCATCTGTTGAACTGCATCCCAATCATCACAAATACTGCAGAAGACCTATTGGAACCCACATGGACCCAAGATTCTCACAGAAATCAGTCAAGTTTGCTGAATGAAAAATCATAGTTTGGGGTACCATCCAGTGGATGGTAACATCAACAGCCTGAGGTATCAAGACATTTGTGCTGCCCATTATATTACAAACCACAGAAGAGGGCAAATTCTTCAGCAGGATAGCACTCCTTCTCATACTTAAGCCTCCACATTGAAGTTCCTGAAAGCAAACAAGGTCAAGGCGCTCCAGGATTGGCCAGCCCAGTCACCAGACATAAACATTATTGAGCATGTCTGGGGTAAGATGAAGGAGGAGGCACTGAAGATGAATCCAAATATCTTGATAAAACTCTAGGAGTCCTGTAAGAATAGTTTGTTTGCCATTCCAGATGACTTTATTAATAAGTTATTCGAGTTATTGCAGAGATGTATGGATGCAGTCCACCAAGCTCATGGGTCTCATACACAATTTAATTCTGTTTCCACTGCACCATGACTTTATATTCTACATTATTTCTGTTCAGTGACAAGACTTTTGTATAAGCAAAGTCAGACCCTACTGTCCTAATTAAATAATTAGAAATTAAGGCATTATCATATTTTATTTTGGTAAAATAAGTGTAATCTAGAGGCCTTTGCCTTTCATATAAGCCACTGCTGATAACAAATGATCAACTAGAAGTCAAGACATTATTTGTTGTTCCTAAAACTTGGATAGGTAACAAGACTTTTGTCAGGTAGAGTATACTGTAAAAAATTACATGATAAAAAGTCATAGCAACAAATGTTTTTATATTACTTTAACTTATTTTAAGGCTTAGATTTCAGCTAAATAGTTCAGTTATATTTAACATTTTTATTTAGTTTGACTGATGTTGAGTTGAGTGATGACTAGAAAATATATTTGATTCAACTAAAAAACTTTAGGCAGCAAATTTTACTATAGCTGAAATCTATTCTATTGCAAAATAACTATTAAAATGCACTTTCATCATGGCAAAGGCTAATTAAATGAATATTATTTAGGTTGAAAAATATATTTTCCACATTAAACAGCATTTAGTTTTGTACATATAAAAAAACAAAACAAAAACAAAAAACTAAGCAAAAAACATGAGATATCAAACAATCAATTTAGTTATTAAACAATAGCTTCTTTCTGCATTCAAACACAGGTTATCAAGCACACATTATCAACCACAGGAAATGTTTGAACACTCTAGCTTCCCAAAATAAAGTCTGCATCGCACTTTTCCTAAGGACCCATTAAGATGCACTGGCACTCACAAACTCCGAGTGTTTGGACAGTTGATGACTGCACTGTCTAACCAACATTTCCGCCTGTCACAGTCAACACGTCACACCTCACAGGTGAAATCGATCCCGGGACCAATTAACGATGCAGCAACATACAGTAGTTAGTCCTAAATCAGCGAGTCGACAGAAAAAAAAAAGAAAAATGAGCTCAGCTTGGTGCCACCAACTCCTGATGCCAGCTGAAGAAGTTGGTATATGGCAGTCTGAAGCAGTGTTGATTAAGAGCGAGGCGCTGAAGCGTGGACTGAAACAGACTCACACACAGACCTGCTGGGGAAATTGGAGTCCCTCCAGCTTCATTACAGCTCGTATGCGAGGAGAAACGGGGGGAAAAATAAAGTGTCTTAGGATTAACAGGCCTCCCTTTCTCTCGGTGCGCCCAGTAATTACTCTTTTTCAAGGGTGAGCCCTAAAGAGCACTCGTTGGTTTGGTAATTCATTTATACACTCGCCCACTAATTAAGTACTATCTGTTTGTTGAAGACGACAACAAGCTTTCTAGAGAGATGTTTAGCCGTGCTCGAGCGATGGTGCGCTGGTTCCCTGAGGTAATACGTTTCTTTCCCTCAAGTCGACATGGAGAATGGGCTTGAATGAGAAGGAAGGAAAGCGCACAATTCTGTGGAACCAGAGAAACAATTAGGTCTAATCACTGCCGTAAAAATGATGGCGGAAAGTTTGTGATGTGTAAAAGTGCCTCCCTTCGGTTGACTTGCGCTAAAGGAAAACAGTCAGGAGCGTGTTTGCTCATTAAAAAGGCTTTGTGAAAAAGGACAACTATCTTGCTTTTATTTACAGGGCTGATTTAAGGGTATTGGGAGCTGGGTTTAAGCCGGACTCTGGCTATTACGAGAGCTGCGGCTCACTCCACTATCGACCAGAGAAGTCTGTTCTTATTTAGGCAGTCCTCTTCACAGACAAGTGCTGAAGCTTCTGTCTTCTTACTTTCTCCCGGTTGAGGTTTCATTTGGGTACGGATCCGTTGGGTGCGATTGGATCCAATAGGTTTCATTAAACTGCTGTCAGATGGCATGCTACTTTCAACCTTGACAATCAAATGAACATCGCTAAAGGGGTGAGGACAAATACACGCACACACAAAAACACTGTCAATGTAACTAGAAATGGTTTGAAGGTTTAGGATTTGTGTTTCTGCATTTATTGTGTAAATCATGATAAAAAATTGCAAAACATTAGAATGTTAAAAAATGAGTAGAAAGACAATATGACAGACCCTCAAGTTTTTCACAATTTTTCGATCGTTGAATCCAACACAAAATCAACAAAAAGGTGGAAATGTTTGCTTTCCTGAAAAATGAATAAACACAAAATAATTGCAAAAGATAGAAATAAAACTTATCTCATAAAACATCCAATTACAAACCACGTAATCAAATTAGATTTATTTCAGTTTTCAATTTTAAACTTATAGACGTTGCATATGCAGCGCATGTAATGTATTTGAGAGTCTTTTGAAAAATGACGTCTCACCTGTGCCCTCACAATCATTACATTACATGAGGGTGGGGCGGATTAAACGCAAGTTTTTGCAAAGATTGGATTAGGCATCCTGTGGGACGAATTGGGCTTTTTGTGCGTTTGACGCACTTCAGACTGCAAAAAAGTTGGAGCAAACATCTAACAAGTGGCGAAATGGAAAAGACAGAAAAACAAGCAGCTAACAATGATGGAGATTGGGTCAAGGATGACGGCCGCTGGACCTGACCAAATTGAAGGACATTATTTTTGCTGTTGACTGTTAGGATGCACATTAAACCCCTAAACGATTTTGCTCAACTCTTTATACATATGTGTGTATGTATGGGGCTAATAATTAAGAGTTCAACTGTATGTATGTATGTACATGACATGGGTTACAGTGAAATTAATATGAATTATCAACCATTTATTATTTATAATATTGTTTTTTATTTTAATATATTGTTTTATTACTACAATTTCATAGTTACATTTTTGTTTTTGTGCTACATGATTATTCGAATATGATGATTTGTACACAACAAATATCTGAACAATTTCACTATTCTTTGGAACAAAGTAGAAAAAAAAAAATAGAAATATTAGAAAATATAGGGGGAAAAAATGTTTACTTGGTTCATAACAATAACGTTTTCAAATGTAAATCTCATAAATCCTACATCAGAGAGAGAGGAAAAAAAAAAAAAAAAATATATATATATATATATATATATATATATATATATATATATATATATATATAAAACAATGCATTCTTTAAATTTATGTTGGAGGTTGAAATGTGATTTAAAAAGTGTAAAAAAAATGTGAAAAAGAGTGTTTTTTATGCCTTTTTAATGTGTAGTAGCTCTTATAAATAGTTGGGTTCTCTTATTTATTTTGTTCTATAGGCTAAATGAATAAATATATAAACAAACAAACAAACAAATAAATAAATACATAAAACTACACATCTGGTCATGGTTTGCTAAGCATTTGAACATTTATAAGAATGAACTTACAACTGCTTTTATAATATATATTTTTTGCAGCAGAACTTCCACAATATGCAGAACTTTGGTATTTTTGCAGTTAAGAACTCAATATGTAAAGAACTACAATGTGTAAATATGTCAAAATAGTGGCAGGAATTTCTCTGTCTTACATAAATAAAAATCTGCTGCATGGAAACCATAGCGCCAATAAACTGCAATGGGCAACTTCATGAGGTCAGACTAAAGAGAATTCTTTAGTCTGAGAATTCTTTGCTTGAGAATTCTATCTTTTTATAGTCACATCTCATAACATTATGTCTTGTTTTGTGT